CAGAATTTATAGGTAGTGCATATGGAATAAATATGTATGGAAATAAACCTAAAGCCTGTGGCACTTAAATTTCTCAAATAGCTGATACCATTAATATTTTATATTTTCCTTACCAATCTTCATTAGTGGTTTAACACTCTGTATTTGGCAGACATATAAATAGCATTAGCAGACACAAACTTACTTAACACAAAATGCTGTAGACCACATAATCCACTTTTATTGTATAATTTTTATATCTATGGCAAGGTAGAAGTACTGAGTTGACATGGTAATCTAGAATTTGTCTCTGGAAAAAAAGTAATGTGAGTTTGTCTTACTATATTTTCCTAACTCAAAACAGTAGGATCATGTTGATAAAGCATAATGCAAGTTATTTTTACTATGATACTCATGTGAATTGAATGTTATAATAGCAAATAAAAACTGTCACTACTTTGAAATTTATCTTTTACCTCTTGTGATAGGTCAGAATTAGGACTTAATTCTTTGACTTACACGGTTTTTTAAAAGTATTACTGGGATGATCATAAAAGTTTTGAGTTGTGCATTTTTCTTACATTTACTTTTTTTATTTCAAAATATTAATGGGGTACAAATGTTTTTGTCACATGGATAGCTTTTGTAATGCTTGAGTCAGGGCTATTAAGTGTGCCCATCACCCGAATAGTGTTCATTGTACCCATTAGGTAGGTTTTTGCCCCTCTCCCCCCACTTGATAGCCAATGACTTTTCTGTCTGTGCCCATGTATGCTCATCAGTTAGTTCCAATTTATTAGAGAGTACATGTGTTTGTTTTCCTATTCTTCAGATACTTCATCATACATTTGCTTTTACAAGATAGCTAATTATAAAAGAAGGTTAGCTGTTTATCAGGAAAAAAATAGAAATCTGATATAAAATGCAAATTTATGTTGGAGGATGCTTGATGAGTCCCTTTGAGTAGTTTCAATTTTAAAACTACATTAACAGTAGTAGTTATTACTAGTTTGGAAATTCCAGGTCACACAAATGAATGGCCAATTTGTACAATCAGTTGACTTTTTATATCATGTCTGTCACTGTTCAGTAGATAATTTAAGGTTGAAAACTAATTATTAAAAGATCAAATAAAGCTCCAAACTTGCAGAGTGTAGTGAGGTGCTTTCTGTTTCCAAGGACAAAACA